AGCCAGTGTAATGTTGTGTGAACTAACACTGTCTCCACACATGATCCTAGGTGTCAGAGGGGTGAGATGTGTACTGAACCTGACAAACCAGTTGGAGGCCAGAGTGAGTGGTTCACCACATGCCCGCTGTCCCACCCCAGTGTCAACATCAACTCCATCTGCAGTGCACGCACCCTCGTTGTGTTTGGGCCACTGTTGTTACTGCAAGCATCTGTGACTCATGTTTGTTGACAGTAACAACAGCCTGGTACAATGTTGTAGTGTATAATTAGCCAATTTTCGTCCCATAATTACCTCGTTTTTCAGTGACAGCATATTCACAAATAGTTTGTGTTGTTTTTGCTGTTTTCAGTGGTGTTAATCACACTTTCGGTTCATTTCTCTGTTGTCTTCATATATGATACATGTTTTTACAGATTCAATCAGGGAGAGTGTTTTGTGAATAAATAGTGAAAATTTATATAAATACTAGTAAATATTTAAAATATTTTAAAGAAAAAACAATTGTTAAATTATCTTAATAAAATATACTGAAGGAAACCAGAGACTCGAGCTCATCATTTACAAAAGCCACAGCAATCTAGACTTGCCAACTACAGATTTGTATCGACTGTATTGGATATATTTGTTTCAGGTTCTGTATGAGTGAGTGAGTGAGTTGAGTTTTACGCCACACTCAGCAATATTCCAGCTACATGGCAGCGGTCTGTAAATAATCGAGTCTGGAACAGTCATCCATCGTTCTGCACAATTGGGAACCGATGACATGTGTCAACCAAGCCAGTGAGCCTGACCACCCGATACCGTCAGTCACCTCTTACCACAAGCATTGGTAACTGAAGATTAATTCCAAACCGGCCCTTCACGGGTCAGGTTCTGTATGAAAGAATACTAACTAATGTTGGAAAAGTTTCAATGAGAAGTTTGTTATATCTTAACACACCTGCTTTTGAAAGAACATCATTATCAGGTGAGAATTGGTCTAAACAGTTTCCATTTAATTGACAAAAAAATCAACAACAGTTGTTGACACCACTTTGCCATCAGGCTGATGTGTTTCCAGTTTCAAGAAGAAGTATTCTACATTATTCCAGGTTTTATCAGGTGCTAAAGCCATAAGTCAGTTGAGTTCAAGCATTGAAACTACCTACATTATAAGGCATCACTGCAACACTAGTTTGACATGTTTGTAAACTTTCCCGAGGCTTTGAACTGGTCATGATATATTATACAGAAGAATGAACCTTGTTGTGGCCACATCCAAATATTATCCATAATCAGTTGCCATTGTGAACACCCAATCCCCATTTCAATGATCTCTTAAACCAGCAAGAGGCATGAGTATTCCGGCGAGGACACAGGAATAAAAACCATTTTCATAATCATAAGAAAGTCAGTATCATCACGTTGTGTTCATGAATAACTACTTAATAGTCATGACACCTGGGCCTAGATCTTCGAAGCTCTCTTAGAGCTAGGATAAGAAAGTGCCATACATTAACTTACGACTATCTTAGCGCTAAGAGTGCTTTGAAAATCTAGGCCCTGGTGTTTACATGTGGGGTGAGCATATCCTGTCTTAACAGTAAAAATACATGCAAGGGCAAATCAAGTTTAACCTGAAGAAAAACAACAGAACATGTGATACAGGTCGCTGATGCATGAAATTTGGAATGTCCTCTACATGTCTTGATTTAAATCTTTTGAAAGTCCATGTTAAATTATAACCCAAATCAAACAGGTTTTGAGCGACAGCCACTGTTGTTTTCTGAACACTCGCTACAGGAAGTTGACGTGTTTCAAAGTGTTGTCCCTCAGGGTTGTTCCAAGGTTCATCCAACTGTTCTACATCAAATCATATCCATTACTATGTAATCGGGCTACGTGGTGTACTCACCCCCCAAAAAAACAATTGTTTGAAAAATGTCCTTCAACATCTCACGCAGACATTTTGTGAAACTTCATTCCATTTTTTAAACGACTCCAATTTGTTATTCATAGAATAAATCATTAAACTAACAAAAAGCTGTGCTTTCTTTGTTCACACATCTGTTTCTTATGCAGCTGTTAATAATTTCAATCTCAGAAAAACTATTGATCAAAAGCCCGGTCAATAGGTCTTGCAAAGAAAAATGGCCACAATGTAATCATTGTTGCATAAACACAGACAATCGTACAGACAAAGTCGTACAAGCATGTTCCACTTTTGTTGTGATAAAATCCAGTATTTCAACTGTCGAGACAACCCATCAGTAATCTGCAGCATCTCACTTGACTGCACATCAACAATAGCCCTTTCATGATATTTTCCACACAACAAATAACAACGCATGACTTTATTATCCCTTAGCTCAGCATGTTTGCTAATATCTAGAGTTACATCAAATCATGTTTCAGAGAAAAGCACTCTCCTGTACAAATCAAAATTTAAATAAGTATTGCTTACAAGATACTCACTGAAAGTATCTTGCTTGGCCTACATTGAATGGAATGTGTAAACATGAACATAGTCAGCACCCAAACATAAAACATCTCATAGGTAGGTTACATATGCCCAAAGGCTACATCTTGCCTGGAAAGTGACATAGCAAACCTAATACCTTGAGCACTTGGGTCTGTGTTGAGAAATACACAGCCAAACTCTAATCACTAGTGTCTTATCTTACATATTTCCCTGTATTGCAACTTTGTGAAACTGTAGCCAACTGTTCTACTACCGTGACTACTGCTCTTGAGATTGGTGAAAAACTGCAGCAAGCTATCTTTTGAAGTTTAAGACCCCCAATAAATCTTCCACCTACATGACATAAGAATGTCCATGAGATTACAAGGGTTTTATGACTCGTATACCCGAGTACATGGGTGATATGTGTCACACATACAGTACAGGATCAATATACTCAATACATGTACATGGGACGTTGCATTTGTACTTACAACTGACATATGTCAGAAACCTTTGAGAAATTACACATCTAAATCAAAATTTAAGGCCAGATAATTTCTATAAAAAATGATTTAAACTTTTAAACTTCTTGTAGGAAATGGATAAAAAGACATCCAACTGACTGTCAGAAACTTTGAGAAGAAATGAAATGGAACTGCAATATAATTTATTATCTTCTTCAACATGATCTGTTGAAATGTTTGACCCAGGTTTTCATCAACTGTCAGCATTTCTAAGGTCTATGAAGTAATGAGACTTTAATGTATCCAAACTTTTAGTGTTTAATCAAGTTAACATTGAGCTCAAACCATGGAAACAAAGATCTTAGGAATGGAGCTTTGTCCAGAAATGAAAGTGAACTGGGCAACCGATCCAACCAATGATCTGCTACCTGTAAGCCAGCTGTTACAGTCACATTTCGTACTGAATCTAAACATCTGTCTCGGTTGTACTAAGCATCAAAACCCATTCAACAACCAACAACAACCACTACAAAGTCTGAAATCTCTATCCAAACAGGACAGAATGACTGTCATGTATACCAATCAACTTCTACCTATATAGGTAATACAAGCTCTACCTACCTCCACTGGTTGTGGACTCCATTATAAGTCATGGTCCCCTGATCACGTAAATATATCCTGGCCGACCCTCCATAAGCCATCTTGACCACCGTTTACATGTATGTATCCCACCTCGACTCAAACTGTATAATCCTTCTGGTTAATCCTTCTGTATCTTCTCAGTAGCCTCTGCCCATTACAGCACTACACACAAGCCTGGCCTGTCAGTGAGGTTTCCTATACACTCTCTACTGCTATAGCTGGCCGAGCGAAGCTAGCCAATCGGGACACTCGCCACCTTTGTGATTCACTGGTTTCAGGGCATTGTGGGATGGGGGAATGTAAACACAGCCACATGTCATTGTGATGGGATCAGTCCAGGACAACCGGGAATCATTATGATGTCATCAAAAGCAGGTTATGATTGACATAACTATACACACGTATGACACTGTACACGATATAACTCATTCATCTAACCAGGCCTTACATAACTGAGTTTCATTAACATCTATGGGTTCACAGTCAGTTTGTTTTATCATATATCAAATATAGATTTTTCCCCTGAATAATTATGTCATAATTTATTATAAAAAATATAAAACAGTTTAATTTGGAGGCAATGCCAAAGGGTTATTATGGTTTAAAAACTATTAACATTTCTTTTGTAGGTACATTTAATTTATATCATGTGAACAATGCTGTTGACCTTAAAATAACAGATCTCCTCGATTAATCTTGTCTTGTAAATTACATATAGTAGGCAAAGCCACAGCAATGTGAACAAGCTGAAAAGAGTCACACAAATTCAACCCTGGGTTCTTTTGCAGTTAAGAGCCATCATAACCAATTCTTCATTTACCTGGGAGATTAAGAACAGGATTAAGTTAATCCCAGTGTACTAATTGCACCTGTATGGCCAGTGTAATTTACACCAATTACCTGGAAATACAGGTAGATCCACACCTACTACCTACTGTGTATACACTAACTGCTCTGTTTGGTCTGATGTAAGTCACCAGGTGAATGTTGTGATAGTAATTAACACCATTGTTCAGGACACTCAGGTAATTGTTATTTACCTGTCTATATATGTTAATGACAGAACCTTGTAGTATCAATTAGAAATCATGCTGTGTTCAGCTAATTCAGTTATCACACACCTCTTGCCGCATCAAAGATTAAAGGTGTACATCAAACGAGAAAATGTGAAGGTCTTCTTATAAGAAGTAATATTCTCCACAAGACTGATTTTCACAGTATTTTGTCTTGTACAGAAGTCATTATCCAAATGAATACATAAAGCAGAACAAGATCTAAAAATAGCACTGTACCACAAAATAATGTTCCTAATTGCACATTTCCTTCAATAATAATTATTCACACAACATTGCAATTAGAAATTGTACATTCATAATTAAGCTTACTCTTAATTGTTCCCAATTAATATTATATGCACCATTCAACCTTAGAGAAGAAACTTTTCTTACCTTTGGGTCAACCCTGGATCTCTCTTCTGAAACATAACAGAAGATAATCAGTGTGTAATATAATATGACACATCAGCTATCACATGCTGGTAAAGGGGTCATTTGAGGGTACTTCAAATATATTCTTCCCTGTGTACAGAAATGTACCCTAACCAAAAAGGGAAACACAAGTCTACTTTCACTTGGTAATGTACAACCATGCAGCTCGGACATGTCACAAAACCATATTATGAGTGAGTGTATGTGAGTTTAGTTTTAAACCGCTGTTAGCATTATTCCAGCAATATCATGGCGGGGGACACCAGAAATGGGCTTCACACATTGTACCCATGTGGGTCTTCAGCGTGACAAGCAAACTCTTTAACCACTAGCCTACCCCCATCACCCCCTGCATTATCAAATGGATACACTTTTGTGAAGCAAATACTGTTACCCTAGGTACATTAATTTTGTTGGTTTTAATTAGGGTACATTCTGGTAGTGAGAAAGGTACAAAGGATACATATTTTTAGTACCTGTTACAACTCCACTTACAGACAGGCAACCACACACACCATGAACAATGGACAAGTCCTAGAAGCTCTGCCCACTAGAGCTTGTTGCACGGAGGATATGTTTGTTCTTGTGCTTATGATATCATGTGAGCGGCCATATTGCTACCACTAATTAACCTGTCAATACCTGTGTGTTGATACTTGAAGAGATTATCATCACACTGATGTTATGCAGCTGAGTAACACACGGTCTCAAATTTCAAGTGTTATTATAATCAAATAGAATATGCGAGGTATTTCATTTTGTTCTTATAAGTAAGCATCCTCGATAATCTTCAGGGTATACATTCTGATAAATCTCCACTATACCCTGGATGCATCTACGGCTCAAGCCGATGATTTTATTACCTCCCTTGGTTGGCTTTTTATCCAATCAGGTGTCTACGCTGGGAAGTTAAGCGTACCAATCACAACTCACTTTCGCTTTTCAAATTATCTAACCGATTAAACTTGGCAACACAATAAGATATTGTTGCAGAGGTACTCTGAAAGAGGTAGAAGGAGTTCTTGCATATATATTTTTTAAGATTTCAGACCTGTCAATTTGTATGTATGTTTTCCTCCAAAATCTGAACAAACTTTCGCGGCTGCGACCACTATCTTTGTTGACACTGGCAAGCTCGGTTGTAACGGCGGCTTATCTGATTGGCTACTGAGCCAGCAAAGGGAGGTAATAAAATCATCGGCTCGAGCCGTACATGCATCCAGGGTATAGTGGAGATTTATCGGAACGTATACCCTGGAGATTATCGAGGATGACAAGAAAGTAAATCTAGATATTTCTGTCACAATCTTTCTCAATTTGACACCTTCTTAAAGACTGGTGCACAGAACTTAAGTTACCCCTTGAAATGAACAAGTCATTTTCAAAGCTGGTTGTAAAATACTGTGGACTGGATGGCATGTTCTAGAATCAGTAATTTATAATCTGATGCAATATGTTTGTTTGTTGTTTAACGCCACACTCAGCAATATTCCAGCTACATGGTGTGGGTCTGTAGATAATCAAGTCTGGACCAGACAATCCAGTGATCAACATCATGAGCATCAATATACACCATTGGGATACAATGACGTGTCAACCAAGTCAGGGAGCCGGACCACCTGATCCTGTTAGTTGTCTGTGTACCTATTTAATTTATGATCTGCTGTATTGTAACGTGTACGTTGTTGGCTAGTGTGTAAACAACTTGTCTACTTGAGTGAGCTGGATGATGGATATCGGTCTGAACAGTATTTTCTATTAGCGTGAGGTGGAAGGAAAACCACAAGTAATGCAGGTCACATGCCATGTTGTGAAACCCATGAGTATGTTATGGTGCTGACAAACAAGGAAGATAATCAAAACACATCTCAGATTTAAACCAACTATCCCAGGTTTCTGGGATGACAAGGGGACACAACTCTTCATGTAACTTCAATAAACTTAACTACTTTCTATTTAAGAAAATGGGCCATAAAGCTTAGTGATGAAAGCACTTGTTATTTTTAATATCCTGGTTTAAGTCAAACCATGGTCTATTGTCAATGTCCTATTTTTTAAATACCGAAAAAAGCAGCTTAAATTCATATCACTTGCTCTGGTAAAATAAATATTAATTTTCTGAAATTATTTACATGCAATCATTTTTACCAGTACAGTTATCCGACAAGGGTGTCTCCGCCAAGTTTATACTGTCATAGTCTGTACCTAAGTAGAGCTCTCCTACAATGACCAACAAAGAGAACAAACTCCGCAAGTCAACACGAGGATGCTCAAGGAAGGATGATGTCAGCACGTCATGAACGAGACTCGGTATAAAGGATGTGAAAACAAAGGCTGGGTGGCCAGTTAACAAAATGCTAACATAGATCTAGGTCTGTTTTCTTTCTTTGTAATACAATCGTCTCCTCTGTTTGTGTTTAATTACTGCAAGGTTAAGATCAGAAAATGGCCTCTTTAGATTGTTTGTCTGGCTTGGTTTTCTTATTTAGCGGTGAGGATCTTCAGGTACAAACATTTTGCTACATTGTAATCTACTAAGTAACTACATTTTTGCTTTAATTTTTTACACTAACATCTAAACAGGAAGTTAAATTTCAATAAAGTTACATCAAAAAGGATTATATAATTGAGCAGTGTGATAGCTTGGAGTATTTAAGGCAATCCATGTTCAGGCAAAATGGCTGTCCTAGAAAATGTTACCCGTTAATACTCTTATTAGTCACATGGACAAAATCGCTGTATAAACTATTCACAAACTGCAACATATAGACTAGATACTGAAAATAAGCACCAGTTCTATCATTGTTCCCATTTCACATAACTGACAAAATACCATTTTTTAATTTAATTTTACAAATTCAAAATGCAGTTGCTAATCTTAGTTTTAAATAAGTACAGCATGGGAAAAAAACTGCTTGTCATAATATCACAACAAACAGGGAGATAGTTCACTTGTGTTGATAAGGGAAGTGGCTGACACTGTATCTGTTGATATAAAAGAGGCAGCGGCTGGAGAACAAAGGGAGATAACTTTCATGACAAGCCCTCAGAATGTTGGTAGAGTGCATGCCTTGCATGCTTGTCACCAAAATGATGTCATCAGAAAGAAATGCCCTCATTATACCACCGTGATCATACTTATGCTTGTATACAATTTGAATTATACTTTCATCGAAAAAAGTCTTGAATAAAATTTTCATGTAGATTGATTATAAACTACTTCTACAAACAACTATGAAATTGTACATGTGTCAAAGCTTCAAATAGACCACTTTTTAATGGATTACAACTTCTTCATTCACCAGGATCAAAAACCATAGTTAACATAGTTACAAAGAATAATAAAGTTGTTATCCATGAAAAACATTTCATGTATTCTCTCAAATAGTATATCTACACCTCCTACCAGAGCCGACCCGTGAAGATCCGGGGTAGAATAGGTCTTCAGCAACCCATGCTTGCCACAAAAGGCGACTAAGCATGTCGTAAGAAGCGACTAACGGGATCGGGTGGTCAGGCTCGCTGACTTGGTTGACACATGTCATCGGTTCTCAATTGCGCAGATCGATGCTCATGCTGTTGATCACTGGATTGTCTGATCCAGACTCGATTATTTACAGACCGCCGCCATATAGCTGGAATATTGCTGAGTGCAGCGTAAAACTAAACTCACTCACTCACTCCTACCAGAGCCTTTATATATCCCTGTTCCAACTACATGAGCAGATGATTAAAACAGCATGATCCTGGAATTAGCTTCAATTTTGTTTTAAAATTATATAATTGCTACAAAGATGATTTAACTGTGGATAAAACCTAGAACTGAATAAAAAAAGTTCTGGAGTACATGTTTTACACAGCTCATCACTATGAAGTGGGAGGAGACAGACCCACACAGGAATGAAACCTGGACCTTTGCAATGACAAGCAAACTCTCCACCCAGTGTGATTTCTACAAGATGAGGCACCCAGCAACCTTTAAGCAGGATTAAATTCCCTGCATGCTGCATCATCCCTCCATTTATCAATGAATCTGCTCACTTTGTTCGAGTCTATCAAACAGTTGTACTATCACGGAAGGTTACTTCCTGAACTCTCAGTCACCTTCCTTGTTACCATACTGCCCAATGGTCCTTCTCAACCCAGGGTGATTGAAGTTCAGGACAACTACACACATACCCTCTCAACAGCAGGCAAACCTCAGCTCACTCAAATTCAAAATATATAACAAGTAGTAATAACTATAACAGACCAATTGCATCTTTTTCTTTTCAAATTAGGTAACTGCTAACAAGAGTGTTCTTGCAATCAATGTTACATTTCCTACTCAAATTGATAAACAGCATTGATAAACGGCATACTTTTAGGAACGATTGATGGATAAACAAATGACCATCCTTGCCATCCATGGAATTCACAAACATGTTTTCAACATGCCAGAGGCATACAAGTTCATAGACTGGGGATAGTTGTTGCACCAAGATGTGATCTTTGCACTACCATTGTCCTAACTCCAACACATAAACAAAACATACATCACAGCCATTTGGCTGAGTGAAAAGTGGGAAACAGGGCCCTGGATTTTGAAAATGTTGCAGCTTTGTGAGATTTGTATTAATTAAGACGAATACCCTTACCTCTACCTTAGCATCTATAAGTGTAAAATTAGGGCCATGAAAAAAACACATGCAACAGTTTTGTGCATAAATTAAGAAGATTACCCTACCTCTACCTTAGGATCCTTAAGTGAAAACGAGGGTCATGGAATTGAAATATGCTACAGTTTTGTGGGGCCTGCATAAATTAAGAAGATTACCCTTACCTCCCTTACAGCATCCTTAGGTGGAAACTCTTCATTTTCACGTATACTCCCTGGGTAGGAGTTCCGTGGTGTTGACGGTGAGAACACACTGATATCCTCGTACTGGTGGTCCGAACACATGGAGCTGCGGTTGGAGCGGTTCATGTCAGGGCTGTAGTTGAAGGATCCCCGTGAACGGAGTCTGCTCCACTCCGTCTCCTTGCGCTGCTGTCTCGCCATGTCGATGTAGTCACTACTGCTGCGAGACGACGACCGCTTAATACTGTCAGCTCGATGGGCCTTCGAAGCATTCAGATTCTCTGAAGCTTTGTTGATGAGATCGGTGACAGATTCAGTGGGTGATGTTCCTGGAATGTACTCGTACATGTTCGACCCACTTGAGTCAGCACCCTGTGTGTCCTCTGAACCAAAACTACCGGAAGAACCTTTCTTTTTCCCAGTTTTCATCTCCATAAATGTCCGCACAGCTTGTTGTTGCTGTTTCTTAAGATCCTCAACCTTCGGTCCAGACTCACCAGACAGTGACTGAGAATGGAGAACAGCGTTTGCAGGATTTTCATCAACAGAGGATGCCCTTGGTCTGTCAGGTCTCTCAGCAGCTGGATGGGAGCTCCTGCCTTCCAAGTAGGAATCATCATCTTTATATGATCCCTTATCCTCATCCTTGAAAGAGTTTCTATCACTGTTCCTGTATGAATTCCTATCTCCTTCCTTGCAGGAACCCCTATCACTACCCCTATGTGAACCTTTCCCAGAAGCTAAGGAACTGGTTGAGTCCCTATATGATCCTTTGTCACTATCTTTGAATGAGCCCCTATCCTCATCATCAACTATCACCTTGTTCAACCCACTGAAGGAACCCGTTTCATTTCTGTCTCTCAGTTGTGTGAGTTGGTCTGAGGACATTCTTTTGAGGCTGGACCTCTTGGCCTCTTCTTTCCATTTATCTCTGGTGGCGCGCCAGTCTGAGGAGCGGGGGATATTTGGAATCATACACAGTAGAGTCAGAAGGACCACCAGACATACGTTGTCTTGAGGCAGAATTATCTGCCTCCTCCTGAATCTGGTCCAAGGGCTTTGAATCTGATCTGGAACCACGATTATTAGGATGATTCATTTGCACATAATCTGTTGCACTTTGCATACCATTCTTACTATCAACCTGTCCTGCTCGTAATGTTCCTTCCGTTTCATCATAAATCCCATACGCTTTCTTCATTGAAGGCTGGCGGCCTACACTTGCCGTGCTGGACTTGGCATCTGAACTGCTTGCACGAGCATGAACATCGCCATCCCTAGGCATTGGTGATCTCTCATCCTGTGTGAACACAGAATCGTATGAGTCTAAGCGTGAGTCGTGCTCTCTCTGCATTGGTGCAGGGGGAGAATCCTCATACTGGGTGCTGCCAGACGTGCGAGTGTCTGTGGAACTCTTTGGTTGGGAAGGGGTAGAAGAATCAGAGCTACGACAAGATGCTGATCTCCGACTGTTGATAGAGGATTGGGAATCTTGAGACTTTCGTTGAACACTTAACAAATTCTCTGCATATGATGCACTCTTTTCTCTCTGATGTGACACAGCTGATGCAGAGCTCTGACGAGGCAAAAGTCCACGAGACCTACTTGACAGCATAGACGGGTCAAGGCTGTATCTGCCCCGAGCCATGTTACTCTTGCTGCTTACAGAATCTACCACAGATGCAGATGAAATATCACCCCTAGAATCAGACAGACTTGACTTTGAGCCAAAATCATCTCTCCCAAAAGGAGCTGAATTTTCTGAAGGGTGGATAACAACACTGGAGTATGACTCTGCCTCTCTCATCCCCGTATGATGACTTGTGTCCTGAGAAGAGGCAGATGACAACCTTTTTTCCGGTTGATGTGGAATTCTTCCACCATAGTACTCCTTCGACAGACTACGAAGCATGGACTGTGTGCTGGGGTCATATTCTGAGTAATGTGGCATCACAATATTTTTCTTCCTTTCAGTATTACTTTCCTCTTCTGGTAAATAATCTGCTGCATATTTTGCCTGAATATTTCCGAATCCTTCAAATTTAGAACTGCTGCCATCATACCTATACCCCATTCCTTTACCGCCATCTCCACCCAAGGCTGATTTGTCCTTGGACAGATCTACATCATGTTTCTGTGAGGACCGTCGAGCTTGGGAGGATTTCTCCTTGAAACCTTTCTGACCATCTGGCATGGACATGGATGTTTGTGCACCTTCATCAGTTACCTGCACCTCAGCATTGCACTGTTTTGGATCAGTACTTCGGAGAGAAGTCTTGATTGCATAGGAAGACACATCCGTCTGTGTGCTCGTGTTGTAATATGGAGTCTGTTTAACAATATAAGCCTTTGACTGCTGAATCTGTGCAGAAGGCTGATCACTAGGAGCACCAAATTTGGGCGGATTTTTCTTATCTTGGGGGCTCTGAAGTGGACTTGTACTGGAGTCTACTAATGTTTTTTCCTTAGCACTTTTATTATCACTCACGGGTCTCACACTCAAGGGTGCACGATTGTCCTCAGCTGGACTGTGGATGGAGCTGGAATCCTGATGGTCTAACCTATGAGCCTTGGCCTCTTTCTCATACTGACTAGAAAACACAGGTGCTGGGTAGGCTGAGACAGATGCTTGTGAGGAAGCCAATTTATCACTGAGCTCACTCTGGTCCACACCCGGAATATCCCGCTCTGGAGGGGATGGAACACTGTATTCCTTATCACCTAAGTTGTGTCCATCTGAATCAAACCTTGGAGGAGGGTACCCAGGCTCAGAGTTAAACAAGTCCTCGAATTTGTTCTTACCAATATTTTCATAATTCTTTTGCACTACCCTTCCGTATTTGTCATACACAAACTCAGTCTTAAATCCAGGGTCACTCTGATTCCTGGCAGATTTGCCATCCTCACCCTTCCTATCAGACTGAGGGCTTTTCTCAAACACAGGCCTCAAGTTGGAGTGGTGGATGTGCCTGGGTTTCACTCCAGGATGTACTTCCTTCTTAGTGTTAGTATGGTCTGTCCAGGACTGAGCCCGAGCTGTGATCGGTTGTCCTGTCTCACCAACCTCACTAGCCTTAGTCACAGGCCAGGATGGGTACTTTTCATGAGCTTGGTTATAGCGCCCATACTGCAGACTGGAAGGATCTCGCACAGGTGGGACAGGTGGGTGGGCAGGTGAGTGGCCAGGTGAATCCATAAGTTCATGTTTTGGTCTGGGAGGAATTATAGGAGCATCCATATCAGCCTCCTCATCTTCGATCTCAGATATTTTTTCACTGCCTAAAGGCTCAATACCAAAAGCAGAAATATTTTCATAATCTGCCCTGTACCGTCCTAAATGGTGCGGTGCTGATCTGCGGCTATACTTATCACTTTTTTTGGTATCCGAATATGTATCATCATTGGTGTACATGTTTGGCCTTGGTTTCTGGTATTTGGGACCACTCTCCTTATTATACATACTCCAGGCACTGTTCGGTGATGGCGGATGATGCCCACTTCCCGGCCCCCTCACGTCAAGCCGTTTTGGACGTACTGGGTTACCATAACGGTTTTCCTGGACAATATCCTCACTGATATTTGGACTGGACTTAGCTGGAGAAATGGACGGCTTCGGAGTACTACCGGAATAGGGGATATTTTGCTGTAAGTCTTGGTTCAGACTTGGAGTGGACTTGGCTGATACAAGCTGTCTGCTGCGGGATACCCCATGAGACACTGCATCTCTTTGCTCGGCCTCTGAGTAACGTCTTCGTCCCTGGTTCTGGGGATCTTGTTGACCTTGGTTCCCTTGGTAACCTTGATTTTGACCTTTGTCTGGAGGTCGTTGCCAGGGAGGATCATGGGAAGTCCTTTTCTCCTCTCTTCTATTCGTGGACTTCGCCACACTGAAACAAAAAAAAGATATATGAATAAAATTTTAAGACATTTCTTAAAATCTAACTTATAAGTAATCAACTATCAGGTAGATATAGTAAATGATATTATCACGGCCTGCATATATTTCAAGAATACATTAATAAAAACCTCATTTTCTTCACACAAGCAAGATGCCAGTCAAAACTAAATACTATTTTCCTAACTGCAAGCCATGTAACTGTAGTCCAGCTGCGCCAGCAAGGATGGGAAACAAAGTGAACCAGTATATCTCCTATACAAACATCCAGCCAATGAGACATCATTAATTACTTGTCTCCTACAAGACGCCAACACACCCAGAGGTCACCAACTAGCAGTGATACAGCTTTATGTCACCGACTACATAACCTGGTAGCTACCTTCAAATAAGTCACAGATACCTCCAACATACCAAAGGAAAACAGACTGCTGCCAAGACCACATATTTGGATCAGTTTCTGAACTTTTCTGTGCAACTGCCTCTTCACAATCTGTGCTTTAGAAATGACTCAATTTGTGATGTATTAGTACTGAAGACATGGTTCAAGATTACTCATGCTGAGCAAGCAAACAAAAGGGTTAGAGATTGTTTTGGTTTCTATAAATACAAGAGAGAGATAGCCCTTGGACTTGCCAGCATCGTTCTGATTGTTTAACATGAACTTCTGGGTTTTCAAGACAATACATTTGTCTTCTATGCAGCAATGTCAGAATGATGAATACCACTCGCAATCAGTTGAACGGGAACAACTACATGCAGTTTCGGTTTTGGATTGCGGAATATGGACTCGTCCGCCATTAAGGGTACCGGGAATGTTTCTGTATTTTGACTTTGTTTAGGGTACATATCTGTACACAGAAACGTACCTGGGGTACGGATCTGTAGTACCTGTGCCCAAAACGACCCCTCAGTTATAGACTCAGGGACAGAACCCTAGTCATTGTAAATAGCTTACAATAAGTTGTACTAACAATACACATGATTATTAAGTTGGTTGGTTGGTTTAATATCTCACTCAGCAATATTCCAGTTATATGGCAGGGGTCTGTAAATAAGCAAGTCTGGGCCAGACAATACAGTGATCAATATCATGAGCATCGTTCTAAGGAATTGGGATATGATGACATATGTCAACCAGGTCAGCGAGCCTGCTATTAGGCCAGATCAGGTGAATACCTCTTGATTTACTGTTCTTATGAACCAGGAAAAAAAATATGTAAAAATCTGACATACTGTTTGTTCTACATCACCTGAGGCCCAAGGCTTGCAATGTATTTAGGAGATAAAATCTGTTCAACAATAACTTTATTATCACTAAACCACATCTACTCATGACTAAATCAGGCGGAAATCCAAGACAAAGATTTCAAGCATTCATCCATAAATCCAACTTTTGAAACTGGAAGGAGAAAATTAGGACCCCAAAGATATCATCCCTCCAATGGATGTAGACACAATGTTAGCTATCTCACACCTGGCCTCAATGCCGTGAGAGGTACACCATGCAGAGCAGCTTAGATTCTTAGTATATCCTCAGCAAGGAGATGTTAAGGAGAAAAATAAGCTCATATCTCCTCCTTCCACCTGCATAAAACACAGATTGCATTACACCAGGGAGATATACGTTATATCAACTACTAAAGCAGCATGGCCAGTCACTGATGCTATCTGATGTCCGCATAGTTGAGATAAGTCTTTACTGTTATGGATCTAGTTGGTTCTATTGTCAGACTAACGGTCCACGCTTATCACTTGTAGCACAATATCACTCCAACAAAACCTACCGTTTAAGATGTCAAAACGCACACATAGACGCATACCGTGATGAATACCACACTAAGGAAGATGAATATACTGTCACAAGGTGGGGACAGATTGGCTTTGATAAAAAGCGTGAGAACATATTTCTGACTGGTAACTGGATAACGATAATTACTTATGAAAAAGTGTCTTGAAGTAATGTCTTAATTTGTCTGTCGCAAAAGATTCATTCCTTGGGACACTTATTGACATAGTCTTTAATCTATACATGTAATGATCCAGGATGAAGATAACCAAAATGTTTTTGAGGTTAAAAGATGAAGGCACATTGTTTTCTAAGCAGCAGATAAATGTACAGTGTTTTCAAAGTATAAGACATATGTAAGATATGTACATCAGTAATGTTTTTAACATTTTCGGTGTAACCTGTATCTATGAGTGCATGTGA